CTAACTTTGCATTTCATCTGCAGCGAGTTAAGAATGTTTTATAATAATCAACAGATTATCCCTAATGCTTAAGTAAGTGTCAGAATTATTTCCTTATTACTGTAATGCTATGGACTATGCTCACGACACAGTGTTTAGGGGCTGCCCTACAAGGTTTCGTTTCAATACCGAGGTAGATTCAGTTGTATGGCAATTGCGAGTTGCAGATGTCGCCGAATAATTGTGTCTTTCATCAAGGTCACACCCGATTTTCCAGTTCAAAAGATGGCGGAAAATGTGTTGATCTTCATGAATTTGCAATCATTACAGGAGCTGCAGAAATATAAATGAGCGTACTTCTTACAAACGTGGTGCCTTTATCTCAGTAACAAGCTTGCCTACACACTTACTAGCAGCATAATTCTCCCTATTCAAATAATGACAATGACTGATAAATTCGCTGATTCAGAGTGTATATTTATTATTTGAGTAGGTTTTATTAGATTAAGTTATCGTCTGCTGTATATCAGCTTGTCAAACTAACAATATTTCATGTGACATTATACAGGACTGACGGACAAACCAACGATGTATAGTGACCTATCGATTCGCTACAAATTCGCCGTTATCAACCAGCAGTTACATAAGTAAAAGTGTTAAGTTAATTTTTGGTGTTTCGAAGTTGGTGAAGGGCATTAAGCATCATTCTTAATTCATTTATCATACCAAATGCTTAAGATATGCATTTTGCACAGTTACGAAAGTAAGTACGCTTCCCTCTGGTTTCTTGTTCTTACCAGTCGTACGCCATTTCTTCAGCCATGTTTGCGATGATATATTATGTAACTTGAGGATCTGGGTAAGGTCTCACCATACTTTGCGAAAATACTTTCGATTTTTTAACAAAGTTCCCCTCTTATGTGATGCAGGCAAGGGGTGAAATGGAAAACGCGTCTAGTCGTTCGAAAAGGACAGTGCACCTTTGCCCATCCGGTCAGCAACAGCGCTTGTGCTTAAAGATCGCTCGACAGTGGTCATATTTCCCGCAGTTAGGAACATGTTCGTAACTTGATATCGGGGTTGATGTCATCCAATTAGTTGATATGGACAGTTAGACATAAAATACGTGAGAAAATTATCTTGACTAACAAGATACTGGCATGAGACGCCTGTTTGGCTATGAAAAACTATTACCATACGTTACAGAATGCACCATGTGAGTTAATATAGACGGGCAACGCCATGCAGGGTGCAATGAGGGAAATTTTGCCATGACAGCGCCATTTTATGCTGCTGTCAAGGGATCTTTAACGTGCACAGCCTGTAGCACACAAGGCCTCGGTTTATTGTCCCATCCCAACAAATAGACGCTTTTTCCATGTCGACCCCTCTTACCAGCATCACTGACAGAGGTGAAACCGGGATGTAAAATCCGAAGGTATTATCACGACCTATGCCGGGATTGAACCCTGGATCTTCAGGTTAGCGAGCAAGCATCTAACTCACTGAGAAATAGCGACTCCCAAATAAATAAACAAAGAAACTACAATGTTGAAGAAAGAAGATGGTAGTGTTTATAATAATAATCACTTGTCCACAGGTTTATTATTAATGATTATTTACTTTTCAGTGCTATCTCGTCTTCAGATTGCTTATTACTTTTGATCAAAAGGTCGATACAATATTGGTCGCTCAATACAAAGGAATGGGAAGCTGGGGTTTCCTTTAATGATTGTGCGACAAGTTATATGGTCACTCTTTGATTTTGTCACCTTGGTGTTCCTCTATGATATAACATATGTCAGAGACTGATAATCGAATCGTTCTATGTAGAAGTATTTTATTACACTTTGGTTTCATCCAGTGCTCTAAACATTCGTGAATACAAAATGTTGGTGAGAGATGATTAGATTTTTGTGGACATCTCATAAAATATTGTATAGGTTTACTTTCAAGAAAAGATATTTACTTTCCCAGACTGGTGTTTTAATTAATAGCATGTCTGGCCTAGTAGAAATAAGCCTCTCAAAAAATTTAATCAAAGTAGGAATCTAATCTGAAAGCAGTTCTTACATTTTCTAGGAGCAAATTTTCTTTTTGATGTTTTAAAAAAACAAAAAACAGAACTTTTATTTGCAGTGATGAGCTTCTTCCATTATAGTCATTATTTACGTTAGTATTTTCATTTACAACCGACCTTTAATTGCCATTTGCATACTAATATATTATTTGTGCTTTTATTACCATTGTTTGTTCTTGTTTGCAATTTTTAATTGTAGTCTTCTGATGTATTTCGATTAAAATTAAGCGGTGGTCTTGAGATTTGAGAATTTAAGCCTGTTCCTGGATTTCTAGTTGAAATATAATATGGTATATATTTGTTGAATAAAAGTTATCGCGCCATCTCGATATTAATTACCATTTAGCGTCATGACTAGATTAGTCAATGATCAAAATGAAATGAATTGAGTTTTTCTTTACTGCACTGAATAGGCAGACAACGGCATGCAGTATACCATACGGAAAATCGGGAAACGCCGTTTGTCTACTTGTTTTCGATCGTTGACGTACATCCGGACTAGACGCCTTTTCCATGAGTCACTCCGAAGTCAAAAGATCACGAATTACTATGAGCGATTGAAGCCGAAATTTTATTTGAGCATGTGAAACGTAGGACTGATTTATTTGAAAATGGTAATCTGTATCGGGATTTCAAGCCGATTTTCACCCGTTTGTTATTGATGAAGGTCGGTACAGCTTACACTGAAAAAAACGTCAGTAGTTCAGATGTGAAAAGAAACGGTCGACGCACCTCAAGGATTGTTAAAGAGTAGGCTAATACCACTGTCCCAGCAAAATTATTACACACTTTAAGTCTTATAATTATAAGCTGAAAAGTAAGACGTTAGAACTAAACTTAATTCACTTTTTACTGCTTACTTATTAACGGCATCTTGTAATTCCCGGTCTGTAGGGAGTTGAATAACTATTATTAATCCACTTATCTTGGAAGATCTTAAACACCAGTTTACCTCCAGCTATAATTAAATAGAAAGCGTACTGGCACTACACGATGTTTAACAATTTAACGAGTATAATATTGTTCGGGAATTAATCTACAAAGATTCTGTCTCAATTAACAAAGCCAGCGAGTAGCTTCTAGGTTAATAAATGACCAAACAATGACCAATGGATCAATAAACGGTGATAAAATCATACTATTATTTTGTCGTAAACTAACGCTATATTACCAATTTGAAAATAACAAGAAGTTTTAATATAAGTGACGGATCTGAATTGTAATGTTTGAAAACAAAATACATGATATACGCATGTTGGTGTGCGGAAATCACATTTGTGCGCAAAGATGTATGAAAATTGAAATTGAGTATGTTTTTCTCCAATATTTTTACTTAAATATTGCAGAGTTAGTGTTTACAATACGTAAATATCCTCCCACAAGGAGCTATAGCTTTCTGGTTCACTGTTAATCATGTTGTACTTTATCAGTTTTAGTAGCGCGTTTTATTCGATTTCTATATGGCTATCGACAAATAATTTACATGAACTAAAATACTTTTTTTCTACATCTACATGGGAAAGTTCTTATACAAAACTTAAAAAGCTTTCTTTATCACTTTTCTGAATAAAAAACCGACACCTGGTTGGTCTGAAATTCAGTAAAAACGAAAGTTACGTCTATTTCCAGGGCATCTGTAGCAAGTTTCCAGATATTAGGGCATCGGTCATAACTCCGTTACTCCGTTGAATTTTTACTGGTTCTATGTAAGATGAACTGGACTCTTTCGGATTAAGCTAGAGGAAACTTGACATGATCGTTAGATGTGTGATGATATAGAATGATAGAGATTTACGTGTACAATGGGCACATCGGTATTAACCTACTATTAGAGGTGTCAAGAAGCTGCTAAATCAATTTACCATATACACAACCTTTTTTTCAGTAGGCTAATTCGCATTCTATTCTTGTTCTTGTCATGACTAATTTGATTTGGCTACATGTTCTAAATATGTTGGAAAATAAATGTGATTAAGTTGGCTGTCAGTCTTTCGTCTTTTATGAACAATAAGTGTTAATTCTGAATCATACAAAATTTGGCAAGGAAATAAAGCGGGCCGACTCTCCGTTGGTTACCTTCGGTATTTTTCAACCAGGTTTCCCTGTCAGTGATGCAAGTAAGACTAAGAGGGGCTGACATGGAAAAAGCGACTATTTGTTCGGATGGGACATTAAACCAAATTTTCAACTTGTATTCATCGGTCGAATCAATTTCATTTCATTGCATATAAAACAGTTCGTTTCGCCTCGTAACAAAAGAACGTCGGGTAGTTTTGCTAGATGAACCCATGAATACAAGTTCCCTCGTGTAGACAATATTGGTAAAAAAAGCGATTAAATTATTGTTTAACCTCTTTTTATCAGTGACTTTTTTTTTACGTTAGTGTAAAATCGAATCACTTGTGCTTTGTTTTATTCCATGAAGCAAACAAAATGAATAATTAGCAAAGAAAAACAATCTACCAATATGGCAACCGATTTTGTTGGTGTCAAAACCAGATAATATTATCACCAGCTGTATGCAACTTACTATGGTGTTCCGATTTTGAGATTATCATAAATCTTTTTACGGGAGTACTTTTTGAAGCATTTGTGATAACATCCATATTCTTCCTTATCACCTTCGAGTACTTTGGTTCAAATCTACCGTTCAGTTTTTGTCACCACTGGATACCTTTTGAGACACTTCTTGATCACTACCTAAACTGATGTTACTGGTGACAAAGCAAACAATATCCGGATAATACACACGCTATATAATAACTTGTGGTATAACAAGAGTGTTTGTTCCCGACTGCAGCCACTGGCCGCCATTTTAGATGGCGAAGATTCACTTTCGAAAATATTATTTGAAATTGGGATTTATAAGTAAGGATTTTTTATAACAAACGTCTGACGCATGTTAATATTCTTCCTTGATTGATGCTACTTGGGTTCACATCTAATGTTCAGTGATAACAACCGATTTTTCACCACTTGATACCTTTTGAGATACTTCTTGATCACTATCCAAAAGACTAGTAGAAACTGGTGCCACGGTAGGTATACCTAATGAATTCTGTTGTTTGATTTCTCTCATTTGCGCTAGAACCTTTTCCTTTTTACAGACATAGTGTCTAAATGTCCCGAATATGAATAAGTCCCAAAACCCACGGGAAAATGAGAACATTTGCAGAATTTTAAAGGCACTAAGATCTGAAATTAAATATGTGTTTCGATGGTCGATGCAAAATGTTACAATTTCCGCAGGTAAGTGGCAACAAATAAAACACATAAATAAAGCGAAAGCAAAGACTAAAATTGATAATGAAGGTTTGTACAGTCTGCCGGGCTGATGAGAAGGGTTCTTGGCCAATGCAAATGTTACAAATAACGTCGTTGTAGCACATACAGGAAATAAAAAGACGATTAGAAAATCCAATATACGAAAAATCTGATACAGATCTAAAAAGTTTTCTGCAACAAAACACATAGCTAAATAATGGTTTTTTCCAATGGGAATGAACGTTGTATCGTATATGACTACAGCCCATATATTGTATGCTGCAGCGAAGAACCACGTTAAACTACAGAAGAATAAGCACCTGCCTGGGGACAACAGTCGAAATTTGTGGTTTAAAACTGCTACTATTCGCTCCATAGTTAATAGAAATATTGTGTACGATATAGCGGTCTTGGCAACATTTGAAAAGTAATAAAATGCTTTACAGACGTACGGAGAAAGATCTATCAAGAACTTTTGACTGATGTCCAGTGGTAATGTAGCTAATCCCGATACTAAATCACCGACTGCTACAGAGAACACTAATATATTGGTCGATTGCCCTAATAATTTCCGGGTGAAGTACAACATCAATAAAATAACATCCCCAATGATGATGATGGCCGATAAGGTGATTTCGATTACCAAGAATATCCAATGTATATGCGCTCTGTCGAAACTATCCACAAGAATTCCTGATTTGTTGCCATCGGAATCCAACCACATATTTTCATACACGGATGTCACACCCGAATCCCCATGGTGTATTATTATCTCACCCGCCAACATTACTGCTAACAATCACTTTAGTATGTGAGATAAAACATACTACGATAGTCCACACTGAATGGACACAAAACACAAAGTCGATAAAGAAACACGTTAAAATCTCGATCACGTGTGATAACTCCAATAGTCTATGTCATTTGTAACATTTACGATTTTGTCGTATTTCTTATATGTAGCCGAGATCAGTTCTTGACTACCATCATCAAAAGCCAGTTATTTACATAAGTAACTGTTTAAGACACTTTCTGTTTAAGAGCGATTATAATATTATTTATTCAATTAAAGCATTTTTCAAAGACTCCAAAGTCAACTATCATTAAAATCTCTTTTAAAACTCATTAACGATAAACATGGAAATTTGAAAATTCACAAGAATAATCCTGTAATTGGATTTAACTTTAAACCATCAATGTATCACATGACGATGTCTTCCAACAAGATTTTAGTTCAGCACTTATAATATATCGTCTACTATAGTCACTACCATTGTAACATTAACAGGAAATTGTCCACACGGTTGAAAAGAACCTAATCAGAGGTCGATGGCTAATATTGGTAGCACAGTCTTCAACGATACTGAACTACATTCACGTGTCAATATGTTTCCATCAGAAATCTTGAAAGCCTTCAGCAATAATGGCATTATTTGCTACTGAGTAGAAATGGCTGGACTCGACCTTGGTTAGAAACAGCCGCGAGCACCTATTTGGACGTTAAATGGTGATGAGAAATCCATGTGACAAGTTATATCTGTTTTCATAGAAGAGAAATCTATAATAATTATAGTAAAACACCTCCTTTCCTGCTATTATAATCTTCAATAATGAACACTAATGGTCGTATATTTTGTATACGTGGCGTCCATTACGATTTAAAGCATCGCTTCCTCTAATATCTTTGACCATTCAAACGACAGGGGAAAATGAGACGAGATCATCATATCCGATGACTATCCTAACAATGCTTCAAGATCTATTGACCTGAAAAGTTAAAGATATCAGTAATTGAGAACGGAACCAACTCGTTAACGATATGAAAATAAAGAATCTTTAACTATTCTATTGAGATACCCCATTTGCTTAGCTTAAGACGTAATTGAACTCAATTCCGCAAAGTCGAAGACACAAAGATAACGCTGCTTATAGCGTTAATGGAAAATTTTCCAAAACAATCATTACAGTCATGCACACGCCCAGATTCCAAACATTGACTACGAAACGATTGTTTGGAATTCAAAAAAGTTAAATTTTCAAAAGTTTTTCCTTAGATCAAAAACAATGTTGCTTTTGTTTAGCAAACCGAATCAACGGACGTGTTTACACGAAACAATGTTACCACCCTCATTTGCGTCAGCTTATTGCCATTTATTTTGAAAACACTTATTCTTTTTACGCAGTTGCATTGAACTGGTGGATATGGTTACAAATAAATTGAAAAAAATTAGATTGCATCATTGATAGTAATTATTTCTGTTTGAAAAACTTCTACTTGCTTACAACCATCGATTCGCTTACTACAAACTGTGAATGTCAATGACAATCTAACCACTGATAATGTTTGAATACCACATTTTCCCTCGGCACATATTGCTTTCTTATAACAATCGATAGTAATTTTATTGTTTTTCCCACAATCTAGAAAACATTAATCATCACATATTTAATTAACTCATTTACACTCACGTAGTCCTTCAAGTAAGATGCTATTTTGAGAAAGTTAACAATTACCTTATGCAATCAATAGCTTTAGGCCTGAACAAATACTAGACTTCCAAAAGGAGAGACCTCAATCACTTCTGGCCCTTTGATTATGCTGATCAATGTTTACAGGGACAACCAAGAACATCCGATAAGTGATAGAAGATACATGATGTTTCATACTAGAATTTTTAATCAAAACTTCAACAACAATTTGTTGCTATCCTACTGTTCGGTGCTATACTAATTCTAGAAATAAAAAAAAGACAGCCTTCAATCACTTCTGGTCCTTTGATTATTTATCAATATTGTACAGAGACCGCTAAGAACAAATCAGATAAATATTAGTTGCATGTTGAAATCATATTTACACCTGCTAAACCACTCTCTCTTTCAAAAAAAAAAAAATTGCGGCGCTTCGACGAAAACATAATATCAAGATTAAAAAGATTTAAGGAAATGCTATATTCCTTGTATATATTTTATTCTTAAAGTCTCGTGAGGAAACTTATCTCATAAGCAAACGTTTTAAAAACTTTGTGTGTCATAGTTACTAGAATTGTAGATCAAATCCTCGTTGCGTTTCCAATAGTAGACAAAAACACATCAAGATAAACAGATTACAGAAAGTGTAAGGAAACGCTGATAGTGTTCATAAATAAACTCTTCATAAACTTCCATAAAAATTCGCCCAACTTTCACAATTTCAAACAAATTCCCTCAAAACTATGCGCATTTAATCTTGTTTACAATAAACACTTAATAATAAAAAATATACCTGCACAATATAATAGTTGTATATCGATGTGTAAGACAGTGCCTACTTACCATAGATAACATTTAACTTCGTCCTTACAACTGGCGTAAAGTTACTAGAATGTTAAATTAAGATCTCAACCCACGAGTCGTCATTCTGAAGTATGATGATCGACGTTTTTTTTTTTATATTTTAGAGCTGTCACAACTAAATGGTAAAGAAATTGTTCTTAAGATGTTTTATTGATTTTAAGATTGTCAGTTGTGTTCACTTTGCTTTGTCTTAAAGAAACGGTAGGGAATATAAATAGTGAAAAGTGCTATAGTGAAATAAAGTATGTCCATGTAGTTTGAACAACGTCTAATTTGTAATTGACATTTTTGTCATTCTGAATGCGTGTGTTATTGCATGTACCACCGATGTTTAGAACCGATAACAAAATTATCATAGCGTGTTAACTATTTCCTGCTATGTCTTTTATGACGATATTGATACTTGTTATTATAATAAGAAGCGTTAGAAATGGCATAAGAAATGGTCAATTTTTTTGATAGGCAGTAGGTCATTGAAAATTACCACAACTGTGTAGAAAATGCAAGATCTTTATTGTTTGGTGGAGAGTGTCCTCTCCAATATTAAAAATAAATTATTAATATAAAGACAGTTAGTAAAATATATCCCCTTAATGGCATTATGTTGGCATTAATAATTGTACAGCTATTGTTATTTAGAAAATGATCAAATCACTCCCTTTAATGATAACGATTTTGTAATACGTTTTCCAATGAACTTTTATTGACATAAGGAGAGGCCTAATGCTCGTTAATGGTAACTATTTTTGACTACTATTAGCTTAATGGTTGTGAGCTAGTTGATTTGCAATCAAATTTCTCTTTTTCTTCATGATGCATACTTTGTGATCCTAAGGCCAGTTGGCTATCTCCGCTATAGAGTACCGAAGAAATACTATATGGACACACTCCGATAATTCATTTGTCATCTGTCTCCATGTTAAATCTTGAAATTCAACCTTCTATAACTTATTCCAGAAATCTGAAAACTTTACAATATGTCACATGAAAGTCTGGCCAATACTTAGTTTCTGGACAAAAATTCAATATATCATGACCATGAAATTCTTGAGCTAGCCAAACTGATTCACTCCCACTTTAATGTAAGCTGAGAAATGAATAAATCTTTTTCATTCAATAAGAAACTGTTTCATTAAACGTATAATCAATAGTAACTGTTTTCATCAGAAAAAAAACTCTTTTGATAATCAGTTGAAGGCTATTATTTATTTATCCCGGGGCTGAGATTGACTATTTCTTTTTTTGTATGTAGTCAAGCCTCATAGAAAGACAATTACACATCTCATGTTGTACAGATCTGAAGTGATGTTTGAAGACTAGTGGAATTGTCTTTAGCTTCAACCTTACAATCATACAAGTTCAGATGACTTCCTCAATTGTTGTCTTGTTTATGACTTTACTTTCAATTCTAAGTAACTAATATTTGATTTTTTTTTTGTCTGGATTCTGTAAAAACTTATGCATCTGACGCACCAGTACAGGCTTTTAACGTTATTAATATACATACAAAGGCTACACCATATTGATAATAAAGAACCTTCTTCTTATTTTGCTAAAGGCTTTTAATATTTAAGGGTTTGTGGGAGATTTTGATTCTGCCAAATGCACAGGAATAGGAAGGAACGAATACTTCATTGAGATATTGGAAGAGGAGCTCTAGATAGTCTCTTCTGTTTATCTTAATTACTTTCAATAGGATCTGAAATTAGGTAAGTTTTCACATGTCAGATGCAACTGAATTCCTCGAGAAGTTACCTGAACATAGTGATTTTATGATACGTTTTGTATGTGTTGGACTAACATATAATATTCCTTACCCTAGAGGCGTTTTGATATAAAGTCTGTTTTAGTGGGTAGAGTTGAATTTTATGTTTCATTGAAATCGCTTTCAGTTTTAAGAAAACAATCGTGCAAGCTTGGTTTAAATCAGTACAATCTTGTGTAAATTCGATAGAATCGTAAAACTAGTGACTTTAAAGTAAACGAATAGGAAAGTTTTGGGTGCTTTTGTACAAGATTTATGTGATTTCAGATTATTACTTTGAACTACACCTTAATATTCAGTATCTGTTTTTGTGACGAACGTTAGTTTAATGTATAGACGGTGATTACTGACAATTGGAAAGAAATTCTGTTTTATCAATGTATGTCCTTAAACCTGCTTTCCATCAGTCCGTGATTGGTAAAAACAAACAAATTGTCACATTGCGTGCTATCATCATGCCACATTTGTACAATATGCTTTGACTATGTTATTAACGCGATTATTGAAATTCACGAGCATGGAAGACACATATTATAGCACGCCGAGGCTAAATTGAATCTTTACATGTTAGAGAAGTCAATTGGTCCCACAAAAACACTACAGAAATCATTGAGGGTTTTCTTTGA